ATGAAAAAAGACAAAAAAAAAAAAATTAAAAAAAAAAAAATGCCCAATGAATCAGCGTCTTTGGAGTAAGAGGGCAGGGAAATAGCCCTATAACTTCCATTTTTAACCAGCACCTGTGGTCATTCTACAGTAAAATAAAGTTTGAGTACCATAATCTTGGAGAAATTAGAAAATATTAAGTAAAACCAACAGAAAGAAGTACTCGAATTATTTTGAACACTGATGTGGAGAAGAGGAAGGAAAATTAAAGACAATGTCTCTATTGAAGTCGATATTATCATAAAGTTATTTTTTACATCATTTAAGAATGCAGTTATATTGTCGTGGGGCATAAATGGAAATTTTGTATATAATTATCACAAGCTTCATATTTTTAATTATTTAAGAGACATTTGATTGCTACTACAAAGATTCAAACTAACATTCAAAGTAGTAATTTTCTTTGTTCACTGTCATAGAAAAATGTCAGAGATAAACTGACTTCTTTTGCTACTTAGCAGCATTTATCTCTTGTAAAGAGGCATATCAGACGCTTCTAAAAAGATTTAAGTCATTTCTTCCAATCTTATCTTGGTGATGATCTTATGCATACACACAAATATTTTTAATGAAAAAGTTTTCAAATTCTACTGGAAAAATTTCTATTTATTTTTCAGTTGTTAAGTGTTTACCGGTGAAAGAACCAGAGAATGGGAGAATTGCCCTTGGCTCATTGGAACCAGACAGGGAATCTTTTTATGCACAAGTGGTACAGTTTGAGTGTAATCCAGGCTTCAAGCTTGATGGCCATAAAGAAATACATTGCTCAGAAAATGGAATGTGGAGTGAAGAAACACCAAAATGTGTGGGTAAGATACGCTTACTGTTTGTTGGATTGTTTGAATGTCTTTAGTTTTTCTTATGAAAATATGCATTTCAAAACATAGTCCATTCTAAAGAATAGAAATAATACTAATAATAGCCAATTTTTTGAGCACTTACTATTCCTTGTAATTGATCTAAGTTCATTGCATACATCATCTCATTTTACCTTCAAACAATTCTATGATTTATGTGCTCTTATCACCTCTATTTTATAATTGAAGAAACTGTGGTATAAAGGAGTTAAATCACATGCCCTAGATTACCACAACATAAACAATTAAGATTCAAACCTACGTTATCTGACACCAAAGTCCATGCTCTAACTATAATTACAATACAGTTGTCTCTTATACACTGAAATAAAATCTTAAGCATTTCTGCTGCAAGTTGTAACATTGATCTCTGGAGTAAACTTTTTAAAAAATTTAGAAGCCAAAGGTTCATTATTTATTTCCACAGATGCATCATAGTGACATTCTGTTTTTGAATAACACTTTAGGAATGACCATTTTATATTTGCAGTGCAAGTTTACTATAAATATTGCTGAACTGAATTGAATCCACTAAATACATCAGTGCATTAAAAAAAAAAAAAAGTTCTATAGTGAACTGTAAGCCAAAATTTCTTTAGTCATGATACTGCTGACCTGTGTGTTATGACCAAATAGTGATTTTGGCTTTTTAATGAACATTATGGTCAATTTGTTTAAAAGAAACATACTTCATTTTACAAATATTTACTTGGCAGAAATTTCTTTCATATTTATTTTTTAACGTCATCTAAAATCTTCAAATTATTTATGCATTCTCAGTCTAAG